ATCACTGAATTAATAAATGATTTAAAAATTATTTCAATTTTTAAATGATAACACTTATTTTAGTACAGATAAATGTCTCAACAGCCTTTTTTAACTGTATAGCAAAAACTTTATTTTTGTTACTATATTTAAAATAACTATTGAAAATGTTTTTTTTTTCTTTTGTTAGAATAAATATGAAATATTTATTTATCAAAATAAAAGCTAAAAGAGAAGGAGAAAGAAAAGGAGGAGGATAGGGGAAAAAAGGAGGGGAAACAGCAGCAATGATAATTACAGTTATTTCGTCTTTTCCTTTTTCACTGCCACTTTTTTTTCTCTTTTTTTTTGGTTAAAACTAATTTTATCTGCAAAAAAAAAAAGAAAAAAAAGAAGAAGAAGAAGAAAGCATTTGTAGTCAAAAAAACATAATTTGCAAAATAAAAAAAGGTTTTTTTTCGCAAATTTGACAAAAAAAAAAGAGCATAATTAAAAGGTCTTTTCTTTTGACCAAAACGATCAAAATGTTTGCTTCTTCTTCTTCTTCAAAAAAAGTTAGAATTAAAAGGTTGCAACGAACAACTTTATTGGAAACTTTATAGTACAAAAAAATAAAGGTAATTTAATTTTCAAATAACATTTAAAAAAAACAAATCTCCACTTTTTTTTTCTGCTTTTTCTTTTTTTATAGTAATTTATAGTAAGACAAAAAATAAGAAAGATTCTTTGTACATTTATTGCCCGTTTTTCTCAGAACGTTTTTGTCGTCACCGTTGTTGGTTAAGTGTCATGAAATTTAAATATTTAAATGAAACTGAGCAAATGAAATGTTCTACTTTTTTCCCAGCTATATATTCAAAAATCATCTTAGTCTAGTCTAAATCTTTTCTTTTTTTTTTTCGGAATACTTGGTGTATTTATTATTGCTAATTATTACAGAAAACGACTGTCAGTGCTGCTGTCATTACTTATATTCACTATGAACAAACGTTAGGCACATTAAACAAAACAAAACGAAAAGTAAATAAATAAATAAATAAATAAAAAGTAAAAATAAAATTTGAAAAAAAAAAAAAAAGAAGAAAAGGGTGGAGAACACCATATTATATTAGTTTTGAAATTAAACAGAACAGAAAAAAATAGCAGCAAAAAAATGAAGACTTTTCCTTTTCCTTCTTCAATTTTTTTTTTGTTTTTTTCTGATTTGGATGAAAACACAATTGCAGAAAAACAGGTTAAAAATTGCACTGTTTTGGAGAAGAAGAAAATATTAAATTAAAACTGCTTAAATCTTCTTTTTCTTCTATCTTCTTTTTTTTTTTAGTTGTTATTTCTGCTCTACAACTATTTCTACCAACTGTGCTTACTGTTTAAGTACAAAAAAAAAAAAGTGAAAAATGTTTGTTGAAGAGGAAAAAATTTTATAACGGCAACATATAAACGGTTATTAGCTAAGAAAATTTTGATTTCCATTAGTCATTGAAACGACGACTGTAAATCTGCACTGCTGCTTAACTGAACATAAAAGTTTGATTGATATTAAACTTTTTGGTTGAAGTTGTAGTTGCAGAAGAAAATTTATATTTATGAAATATAAAGTCAAAAAACTGTTTAAGCTGTAAAATCAAAAAATAGCTGTTGGTTTATTTTTATACTAATTTTTAATAGAAGCTCTTAAAATAACTTTTTTTTTTTTTTGTTTATTTTACTATTGATCAACTTCTTATCACTGAAAAACATATTTTGCTGTCTACTTTTGATAAGGTTTTCTTTGGCCAAGAAACAGATTACTGACTAATGACAAAAAATAGTCGATAATGACACTGTTATAACTGTATGACAATATATTTACTGCTTTCAATCCAGCGGTGACCAGTGATAGATGGTGATATTAGTTTTGATTACCGGTTACCTAATCTTGTTTCGTATAGGTTTTTTTTTTTTCCTTGAAAAAATAAAAGTCAAAAACTGTAGACGATTATTTTTACGCTTATTTGGTCTTTTCTGTAGTTTGAACAT